TCGAAATGATGAAATTTTGATTCTTAACATTTTTTTCGTAGTGTGCTTATTTTTTGAGATATTTGAATGTCTCAAGTTAAAAGCATCACCCTGTATATGTCCTATGCTCATGTTCCACGTGACGAACAGTATATTGCGAATAATAATCTCCAATTATTTGTGGTTCATGTTGAAGAAAATTTACTATACTTCAAAAGATCATTCTTTACGTTCAGTAGAGTTAAAAAACCTCAATTTCGATGCGCCGTGAATTCTCTCATTCCTCGAGCGTTCGTCTAGCTTCGGGCAATGCGCAGAATTAATCGAATCGACTTTCAGCGAGACAAGCACGACATTGGGAGAATTAAAAGAAAAGAGCATCTCGTCGGCCAAAGTCCGCTTGCGCGGGAGAGGATAATGGAAGGGGCGCGAGTACAATTTGCGTCAAGCAGAGAATCTATCAAATTCCATTGGTTTTCTAATCCCCGTACGTTTCCGCGGTTACTCAGAATTTATATCCTCGTGGTGGTGCAGGCGAGTCACATTAAAAGCCTCGACCGTATATGAATACGTGGAAATTACGCGCATTCCGCGGCGCTTATTAGATTACCGTCGGCTGTTGTCGTCAACGATATAGTTGCGTCCTCGGTTGCGTCGTTATCTTTATCTGTCTACTCCTCCCCTTGTTCTCTGTTTCTTTCTCTTCTCTAATGCACCTGTCCGCTGCATCGCCATTCATGCGTACGCACATGTGTGCCAGTCACGACGAAGCAAGCTCACACGATATCCGTATGGCGAGGAATTTGTTCGGATTCTTAGACTTTGAGAAAATATTTATCAAAAATATGACGATTCATATGCTGTTATATGATCTCGTTGATGTGTTCGCTTTCAAATGTTAATGAGAATTATCAGTGTAATAGAATATAAAATGACCTATCATGTTTTGCATTCAATACTTTAACTTGAATATTTTTTCTCTAAATGTCACGTCTTTTTATTTTAGACGTGAAATTAAAATTTTATATTGTGTGTATGCAAAATAGTATTTTGATAATAAACTGTGTACATGGGGGGGGGGGGAGTATTATTATTTTTAAAATAATAGCAATGATAAGATAATGATGATAATAATGATATAATCATAATGACAGGATAATTAATACTATATTAATTTGTTATGTCAATTCAAAGGACTCGCACTAGTTATATCAAAATTAGATTCTAATAAAATGAATTAGTATTTATATATAATGTAGTTTATAATGTGTGTATTAACTACTCTCTCTCATTATTGAGTCTTGTGTCGATGATATCTTTTGTTCACCACATTATAAGCTATATTATACGTGAAAACGCATTTCACCGGAATGCAATCTATGATATAATTAGTAGAACCTTCACTCTCTAATTATATGGAACATTGAGTCCCGGTGAAATGAGTTAGTTTTCACATATAATGTAGTTAATAACATGGGGAACAAATGATGTCATATAGCGATTTCAATTGGATGCACTCAGTGTGCACTGGTGCATATGAAAGTCATACACAGATTGATGTAAAAATGTGTTTAATATAAATATAGAAACGCATTAAACCGCGATCTTCATTACACTTTATTATGCTGTAGGTAAAATATGTATTTTATAATTCAAAATATTTGCATTTTACTTTTACATTCAGATTAAATCAGTGTATCAACGGCTTTAATATCCACCAGTACGCACTAGTGCATCCTACCGAATTCGTTAATAGACATAAGGTTCAATAATTATAAGATTAAACGAACTTACCAAGTGAAGTTCGATCTTAATTATGCTTGTGTCTCGTCCGGATGGATAAATTATGTAGTCACGCTTCCTTACCTACTTAGCTAACAGTATTCATAGTTCTGAGTAAAGAAAGGCCGAGCCGAGAGGGCGTGTGTGGCCCTCTCGGCGACGCCACAGGGCTCCCATAGCGCCATGCGCGCGCCTCTTCATTAAGTTCAAAGATCGTGGGACAAATTGCACGAATAGGGTGGGTAGAAGCTTAAAAAGCTTTTGGGTGGGTCTTATCCATCTGGACGAGACACAGGCATAATTAAGATCGAACTTCACTTGGTAAGTTCGTTTAATCTTATAGTTATGCCATGGTCTCGTCCGGATGGATAAATTATGTAGTTGTTCAAAGCCGATTTGTCCTAAATCATCAGAAAGAATTTTTATTGTGCCGAAATCGACCTTAAAGGCACAACAAAAAGTATATCAGTTTTAGATGAATATAAATTTATACAAGTAAACGGATACAGGACTTAGTAAGTCAGTAATGTTAATGGTGAGAAGAAAAAATAACAAAAGGAATGGCTCCCTCTAGGGGGGTAATAAAGCTGAATATAAATTAAATGAATATAGTGCAGTGTCTATCTTAAGATACATTATATAATGACAAAAGAGCTCAAGAAAGTAGGACTGCTTTGCTAAAGTCATCCGGGTTGATTATGGGGCGATTGTAGAACCTGGCAAATACCTGACAAGGGACCATCTCGGTTTGTACAACAATTATTATTGAAAATGCTTGATATCAGCGAAAGTTGATAACATAAGATGCAAATAAGGAAAATGGCGGGACCGGATATGCCGTGGG